CTTTTATTAATTCATATTTTTATAAATGTCTTTTAATTATCATAAAATAGACTTATTTCCTTGAAAAAATTCCCACAGACAAAGAATCTTAGATTAATTAGGTCCGAATGACCGTTTGCGAGGAAAATTCCATTACGTAAAAGATTTTGCTTTGCAAATGTAGCACTTCCGTCGCCGTGTCATCGTTAATTCGTTCATATCGCGGCCGAGCAAAGATCGACAGATGACAGTGCGAGCAATCTCTCTGCGTTAGAACGAGCCTCTTTATCATTTATTAAGTATGCCAAGTATCCGAATATCCGTGAGAATCCACACGCGAATTTTGTGTCGTGTACATTAAAATCTGCACGCGTCACGATCGTCGGAATTACGTTATCGCACGCATCGGTCACGCGCCGTGCCGCGTCGCGCGCCGATCCAAGCACGGCGCGTGGCTGCTTATATGAGTGTACGAGTGCATACCAACACGAATGTTCCCTGTTTGTCGAGATATTACTGTAAAAATAAAACGAGCAATATCCATTCTTTCCAGATAATTGCCGATTAATTTAGAGATTCGCCTGTTCGAATTTCACGCATAATTCTCTGTATATATACGACTGCATTCCAAAATTCACTGCTACCGCTAACGAAAGTCTATAGTTTATGTTGCATGAACTGTATAGATTTTCAGTATTGGTAATGAATTTTGGTACACTGCAGCCTATATATCTCGTTGCAATTTCTCGTCTCATCGTCATTGTATACCTTATTTATGCCTTGTATATCTTACAAGCGATTAGATAAATAATCTTGTCAATCTCTCTTCTAGAGTGCAAAACGTAGCGATATAATCGAATAAAGAGTAAATTAGAAAGTGGTACACAATACAACTTAATTTCTCTACACACTAAAAAAATCTGATAATAACAAAGTCCACACGATAGTTACTAAAGCTTTGATGAAATAATTAAATATTCAATTAATATGACTAAAACTAATTAATTTAATTTTTCTAATTATTACCTCTTATTTTTTTAATTATTACTAATATTATGTTGGGTACTATTAGGTTGGATATTATTATTATGTTTGATAATATTTATTAAATATTGCACCAATATGTTAAACAAAATACGTAAATACATTTAGTATAATCATCGAATTTTTTTTCAGTAGTAATATTGAGAGAAATTGTGCTATTTATATGTGCAAGAAAGAAGTAAGATCATCTTTTTTATGTCAAGATATCAACGTTTGTAAGCTTATAAAATATAAATGTAGAAAGTGGAACGAATTTCTTTTAATTTATGTGCTTTTCACAAAATGTCATTTATCGCATGACATTAATAGATGAATTGAAAGTATCATAATCTGTCAGGTTTTTAGTAATGTTGCGTATAAAAGAATGTACGATCAATGAACAAAAAAAATGATTTATTCAATCAGTATTCTACTCTTTTGTTCCGACATATAAAATTGGACAAAACATATATCAATCAATGAGCGTCTGTTCTTTTACAATATATTATTGCCCAAGAAGTTCTTTCTTCTCCGTGTTTCTCTAATTTTTTAAAATTAAGTTCTGTATTCTTCTGAACACGATGTAAATCGTGTTATGCAATATGAAATGATGATATTCGGGATGGACTCCCATAATCTCGACGCCGATACTTTTTGCTTAACCTTGAGACGCGCCTAAAAATATAACGTTTAACACTGCATGATTGTACAGCGTGCGTTATTTTTCAAAATTATAATATGACCTCTCTATTATCAATCAATCCAATTGATAATTCGATGTATACGTTTACATGAATTACAATGAGAACCAGGGTTGTCAAAAAGATGAAACATACAAAACGTTCGAATTCTTATTTGTAAGCTCTGTAATTTAAATTAATTTGATAACACTATATTATAAATTTTTGTTTAATTTTAATTATATTTTGTTCCCTATTGTTCTATTATTTAAACAATAGGAATATTAATATTTAAGTACAGATATTTTTTTAAACTGTTCCTGTTTTATTGTCCTATTAAAAAAAAAAAGGGAAAGAAGAGGGAAAAGGTTATTGAGCTTTCACGCTGTAGGTTATTTACGGAAAGCACAAGCTATTTTATTCGTTTTAGAACGGCGCCGTTTGAAGTTTAATATTTCAAAAATAATCGATGATAATAATATCGCTCAACGTCTAATGTTCATCCGCCTCATTATAATGATTATTTCGCTGCAAATTGAAGCGAATTCGGAGCGAGTTTAAAATAAGGGTCTAAAATTAGGATAAAAATCAAGAACGCCGCTGGCGATGCAAAGCGATTATAGGAGCCTTAGAAATCAGGATGTAAGTATTCCTACCTTTACTAATGTTGATTTTGCCGTCCGCGAGAGCTAGGCAATGCGCATCGCGGAGGACATTCCGCATCGTATTCGGTTTAGGCGCAAAGTCTGGATCGTCCGCATCGAAGGACACGTTTTCCTCAAATTCCGTCAACGTCGTCGCCTCTGTCACGCCTCGTCGATGCATCGTGAGATGCGAACAACGATGCGAAAACCTTGAGCTATCTAAAACATTGCGGGCAAGCAAGAAACGTATAAAAACATCATCATCCATACTTGCGGAATTGTAAAATTCACGATTATGCTACGGGTGTATTTCCATTATGACACGGAGAATTGCACAAAATATATCATATATGCGCACTTTTTGTCATGTATAACTCTAATTACTTGAGTACTCAAAATGTTGAATATAAATTCACTGAAAAAAGTTTGGTAATAAGTAACTACCTGCAGACGTAGCTTGTTTAGCATATTGGTGCAATATTTATTAAATATTACCAAACATAATACTAATTAGCTATATAGTAATAATTAGAAAAGTAACATAATATACACATATATACCTAAATTGACAGTAACATTACACACACACACACATCAATGTTATAATTTTCTACTCAAAATAATATTTCATGTTATATTATGTTATATTTATATTGTTAAAGAGAAAATTATAATATTAATGTAATTTATACTATTAATTTGTTTTTATTAAAAAATTAAAATTATAGCATTTCGTCACTTATAAAGCACAAATGATCTCAGGAACATTATAACGTTCCAGTAAAGTTGCAGTGATAATGTAAACGTTGGAGCAAAACGATGCTACTGTGCTGTATGGTTTTATATCAATCGAACATTTGATTGCAATTATTTCACTAAAGCTTTTAGTAATTATATCATTTAATTTAAGCTTGATTATTATTACCAGACTTTTTTCAATATTTTTATTGTGCGCCATACGTCATTTAATCATTTTGACTCTTTCGCCGAGATCAAGCCAGTGAGCAAACTGAAGTTGGCGGTATGTCGCGCGATTACAATATTATGCAAATTGCGCAGCGATAATTATTACCTGTAACTCGTAACGATAATGCGAATATCACGCCGACATGTTCAGCTCCGCACTTGTCGTTGCCGTCACCTTCGCGACATTCACTATCGATTTTACGAAAGATTCGGAGCCGTTCTCTTTCCTCTCTCTCTCCTTCTTTTTCGTTGATCTACACGCGACGACAAGCGGCAGTCGACTGACACCTGATGTACGTTATCGCGCAAAAAAATCGTCATGAATGGCCTCGCTGACGAATGGCGCGCGGCCAACTTCAACACGATATCACAAAGACATGAAGTTCTGTCGCTTCTCATTTTTCTTTCAGTGATATGCGATTTGCAAGATCGATAAGAGCAACTTATTCTTAAATTTGTCTTTTTTAAACTCTCTTCAGTTCACGTTTTGGTAGCAGAGAGATTAAAATTTACGATATCTTCGTGGCTTTATTATAATACACATATTGTCGTATAATACTGTCATCTACAATTGGCGCACTCTCTGAGATACCACTGCATGTATATTTTAATTTTTCGAAATTTTCAGAGGGAATTGCAGTGTATGTCAAGCTGTGGGTAAAAAGAAAGCGATACATACAAACGCGTATGTAATGCTAAGAATTTGTTTAATATTTTCGAACATACACTGCGTTTTGGCACACTCTGCGAGACGCTACTGCGTGTGCGGGTTTCTTTTAATTTTTAAAAATATGAATTATTCAGACACTGTAGTATGTCAGAACGTGAATGGTGAGGAAGCAATACATATCACATGTAATATAAGGGATTTCGTTTAATAAAGCAACTTCAGAATGTATATTATATATTCTATGCGCTCAACAACGATTGAACTTATTTGAACATCATAATTTATAGCTATTCAAAAAAGGAAGAAAAAGAATCTTACCTTACAAGCCTGTAAAAAAATCTATCACAGAATAGAAAAAAAGACAACCAATTAATGCTTCATGTAGATGTATATATATATTTCATACAAAAATAACACTTCTTAGTTACTAAGAAGTAGTAACTTCTGTGAAATTATGCACAGTTCGATGATTAATAATGTATCTTATATATTTGATAATATTAAATCGATTAAAAAGCTTGCGTATATCTTTCACAGCGCATATTATTGCTTTGTTATTCTGTGTGTATATATACATATATATAAAAGTTATATGAAAATTATAAAAGAATTTTCTCTAGTCGATAAAATTCGATCAAATATTGTTATTTTATTAGCGTATTATAATAAATATATAATTGCTTAGGCAATGTGTGTATTGTTTTAAAATTTTCTGTATTACTTTAATATGATCTAAATTATGTTGCATTCAGTACAGTATATATAATCAGTATGCATAACAAAAAAAATTGTATATAATGTATGTATGTACATATATATAATTGTTTATTATTTTAAATCTTCTTTATTGTTTTTAAACAATGTCACTATATTTTTATTTTATTTTTAAATAGGAACATTCTTAAAAACTGAGTTGCAAAGATCTTTGTAACATCTAAAATATTAATATAACTACGCAAAAAACTGGAACAGGATAGATTGTACAAAAATAATTTGTGAATAATACATCAATTATAGTATATACAATATAATACACTATTACGTATTGGATGCCTTTATTCGTTCTTCGTACGCATTCCAAAGTTCTTTTTTGTATTCTAAAATGGCTTTCAGATAACCGTTACGCGCCTCTGTGATACCCCTACCAACAACTGCCAAATCAGCACCAGCATTAATAACTGATTTCGGATCATTATATTGCTGGCCTAGCCCATCTACACTTTTGGTAAGATTGACACCAGGTGTCAACTGAAGTAGTCCGGGTTGTGCCGACAGATTGGATTGGCATACGAATCCTACTACTAAATCGGAGGCTTCCTCTGCCATTAAAACTGCATTCTTTAAATAATCACCGGTGGTCAATGCACCTTCGCATGACATCTCGGCGACTAAGAAAATGCCACGTGGTTCAGTGATATTATCTAAACTTTTCTTCAGTGCGTCAACGACAGATGCACCTGATACCGGATGTACTGTAATCAAATCGGCCCATTCGGCTATCTTATAAAAGCCGTGTCTGTATTGTAACGATACAGTGTTACCGATATCGCTAAACTTGCGATCCTCCATCAATAAAAATTTATGCTGCTTCGCTAATTCTTTAAGACGAGGAATAAAATTTTCGTTGAAGTCCTCTATGATATCTACGTGAATTTTCAGCACGGCGATATAAGGTCCTGCTACGTTTGCTAATTCCAAAATCACATTTATTTTTGTTAGGTCTGCTGCCAAACAGAGATTCGTTTGTTTTAATTCCATTAGCTCCAATAGTTTTGAAGCCAATGGATTTGTTGTTAACTTTGCGCGTTTACTATACGGTAGTTTCAATCTGTCATCTGGCACATCTGTAAGCAACAGATATTAATTTATATACACATACACCTATTAATACATATTTACAATAAAACTCTTATCTGAACATCTGTCGAAGGATAAGAAAGAATGTCTGATAATCATGGTTTGGACAAATAAGATTCATTAGCTTTTCTCTTTATCAATTTATATTAGTTTCAATAGTACAAATTGACGTTCAGAAAATAGGAGCAGATTGAGCAAGTTGAGTTCTTATTATCTGGCACCATAGTTCTAGAATAACATTTCAGGTACAAGTTTGTATATTTGGAACTGATTGTGAGATATTTGGAACTTGTTCATATAAATGGAATGCAGATAGAGTTCTACTATACTATATGCATAAGCATATAAGTCATAAATTGAAAAATAGTAATATACAAATAAGTTATAAAATGTATATTACAAATAATTTACCTTGAACGGAAATGCTTGGTGCACAATTTGCTGCTAAGTAATTATCAACATCTTTGACTATTTCAGGCGTGATCTTTCCAGCCTCCAGGAGATACTTCATAAGCTGCGTAATTACGAATAAACTCTTAACTTTAATCTGATGATATTCAAGATTTTTTTTGCCACCCTGCTCCCTATCGATTAGTACATAAGCTTCTGTCACATTTAAATTTTCCTTCTTCAAGACATCGACAGTTTCTAAAATACTGCTACCACTCGTGATGACATCCTCAATGATGACACAGTTTTCACCAGGTAAGAAAATACCCTCAATTAACTTCTTTGTGCCATATGACTTTGCCTCTTTTCTCTTCATTAACATAGGAATTTTCTCTTCTACTGATATCAGAGTAGCTAATGGTAATGCGGTATATGGAACACCACAAATTCGGGATACTTTTGTAGGATCATCCACCAGTGTCCACAGAGCTTTTGCCAATTTCAACTACAATAAAAAAATTAATAATAATAACATATACACTATGTGTGTGACACATAAGACCAAATGCTACTAATCTGTAATTAACTGAATTGACAGAACTTACAACAAAATTTCTGATTGTATAATCTATTGTCTTTAATTTTTTAATATTTTCATCTATGTTAAAAAAGGTACTATTACTTAATAACAGTTAATTACCATTTATTTCTACTAATGTAGAATAACTTTGACATCGATTTAATTTATCTTTCTTCTTTTTCTAGTTCTAAAAATTAGAAAAATATGAGGAGTAAATTTAAACATGATTAAAGATAATCCACACTGGTAGAGAAACGACATTTAAATCAAAATGCTTACCATTAATTTTGGATGAGAAATTACGACACGTAGATCAAAATATACCGGTGTTGTTAGGCCAATTTTCGTCTTAAACTCTCCGAATTTCACAGCTTGTTTATCATACAGCTCAACAGCCAATTCTTTCAAAAGCGCTATCATTTCGACTGTAATCATAGCGACACATGATTAAAATAAATTTTCATGTTAAACATTTGCCGGTAGTTGCAAGTATAGTGAAAAAACGTTAATAATCGTCAAATATAACTTGTTATTTTTTTTTTTACGATTCAGGGGCCACGTACCTTTTTTTTCTTCTATGTTGATCTTATCTCGACACTCGACTACTCCGTACTCGAAGATAATAAGTATGACAAATCTTTTTCAATATTCCTCAACTCACTCACACGTGCAGGTGAACTGTTTTATCAGTTATACAATATGTATACATATATACGTGTACCATGTTCCGAGAAGCGAGAACGTCACGTGACTTCAGTGCTGTGATTGGAATTGTCCACTAAGAGAACTAGCGTTTCTACGGTCGGTATAGTCAGTTTTCTATAGAACTGTGTATTCCAGAATTATTCTTTTCAGTTGAACTATTAGATCTGTTTTTTATTCCTACTTTTATACTTTCGCCCCAAATTATCATCTCACTTTAATTTTCAAAAATATACAATAATGTTCAGCTTCAGAAAACAGGCTTTTTCTTGCATGTGATGGTTTTTCTTATTTTTTCCACAACACACAATTGGTTTTATTTTATATAAAAATGAAAATTAAAAATTATTAGAGTACAAAATAATAAAATTGAAAAAATTTATAGTAATGCGTATACTTATTACTTAATAACGTTTTGAAGCTTTTATTATTATTTTACTTTCTTATTATAGTTATCATACTTTATATAGATGTCAATAATACCATAAACACATTATAAATGTTATATTTTAAACAATTCAATCATATTACAACAAATAATGAATATTAAATGATACAAATATAAATTAAAATAAAAATCTTGTATAATTGTGTACAATTTCTATCATCATTTTTCCCTCTCTTTCTTTCATTTTTAATATATAAAATATTACTAAAATTATTAAAATGACTAATAATTATTAGAAAAGGTTAGATTGTTATAAAGAAGCAGGAAGCAATGATTATTTACACGATGTAGTATTACATTTACAGTAACACAAATATATTTCATTTTTTATTAGAAAACAACAAACATATCTCTAGAGATCGCGAAACGCATACTTTGTAATAAGTGTCCGATATCATGTGTGTATGTGTTTGTGCGCGTTGGACATTCCATGTCTCATTAGTACACCCACTCAAGTATGCTAATAGTATTAACCACGACCTCTCCCGATTTTCTCGCAAAAACGAATAGCGAAATACATATACATATACGAGATATTCATATAGAATTTAAAGATGGCAAATGAAAATTCAATAGTAATTATTATTATTATTATTATTATTACCATTTTGTAATTTGTTTTAAAACATATCTTAAATAAGTTTCTTTTTATTTCTAAATTGTATTTTCTAAATACTTTATTCAATTATGATCATTTTTCATTTTTTTATTTTTCTATTAATTTTTGCACACAAATCAATATGTGATTAATAATTGCGAAGATAAATAAAATTTTAATAACTGCATATGTCAATATTTAATTGATAACAATCTCTTTAATTAATTTATCATAAAAATATGGCTACATGGATTATTATGAGATTTTACATAAGAAACCTCATATACGTATGTAATGAAAATTTTACAAAATGCAAAATATTTTAAATTAAGTCATGCATAAAAGTTCTCTCCTTTTTCCTTATTTAGAGCTTAAGAAATATACTCGTATTATTTATAACAAAATTGTGGATATGTATCTAAAATCTTTATAGTTTTTCGAAGTAAAAATATTCAGTAAAAATGGTCACGGAGAAAATAGTTTTGCGGAAATATCTACACATTCAACTAAATACAAATCTGAAAATAAATATATTGGATCATTAAAATTTATATATATATATATATATGTCGTTCAAAGTACAATAATAATAAAAATGCTACAAAAAGTTTCGACATTCCAGCAACTAGCGTTCAATTGAAATAATAATTATTTTGATGGTCCAACACATAATTATTTTTAAATCTGTATTTATTTATATTTTTAGATAGTTCAACATAATCGTTCTTCCTGTGTTCATTTATCATTAGTATTCATTGCCTTCACGGTTTGTAGGCCGTTACATGGTAAGATAAAACCTTGCGGCATTTTGGCTATTAAAAAATCAGTTATAATATCTTCTGTTCTCAAGGTTTATCTTGAATCTGCATATTCAAGCGGATTCTTTGTATCATTGGGTCACTGATGTGTTGAATTTTTTACAGTACCAACTTATTGATAATATAAATTTTTTTAAATTAATCCAAAATAATGTTCATAGATCCTCAAAACATTAATTATTTTTTATTGCCTCAAGTTCTATATAGAATTTTTCTAAACAGTAATTCTTTATTACATTACATAATTTTTCAAAGAAAGAAATGTGTGTAATTAAAACCATGACTTGTATATTGCATTTTAAACGTAAAACCGCATTTAAATTATAAATTCATTTAAGGTTACATGTATTCAAAATGACCTTTGCAACTTCCGGACATACGGATATTCACAATCGTTTCTTGATTAATATATAAGCATTTCTTGTCTAAGTATACTTATTCGTAAAAAAAAACTTGAATTTACATCGTAACATTTAAAAAATCTAATAGGAATACGTTACTGGATTACAAAAATTTACTAAAAATGTCCTAAGATAGTTTCTTAAAAAAAGAATATATGTATATGTAAATAAATATTCAATAAGAAACAACTGTGATCCGTTGTCCACTTTTGCTCCGAACACGTTATATGTTCATGGACATGCATCCCACGTGAAATCCATATATTACACTCGATTAGATTAAATAAGTCTCTATAGTATCTTGTCTCCATTTTTTATCAGCGTATCGCATTTTTGTGCTTTTGCTTTGAGCGCGAACGCTTTCAGACTCTAACGCTTATATAAGATCTAAGTACAATTATAATATAATTAATCTCAATTCTCAATGGCCAAGTCGATTTTGGACTCTCTAATTTGATATAATAATAAATTTTCTACTCCACTACTGGTTTTTCCCCAAAATTCGTATATAAACCCTGCTAAAATTGCGCCGATCATTTCCGACGCAACCGGGTGGCCGCAACCAAGACATACATATTTATTAGATACCTTTGTAAAGAAGTCCATTCCTATTTTTAATATAGAATTATTTTACATTAATGAGTTTGGAGTTGACCTAACAATTGGTTTATATGAATTTTATACATGGGATGAGAGATGAATATGTATAAATTTTAATTGTTAGTATTAAAGTTATGTCTGCGTGATAAATATTATAGATTCTACTACGTTCGGTTGGCCACCCACGTTCCTACTATAATATATAAACTTATCAGAAAAAACCGTATCATTTTTCAAGAAATTTATAAAAAATATATAAAAGAAACTGACGTGCTCGAATGTTGATTTTAATAAAAAATTAGAAATAAATTTTTAGTATGCAATTGATGCATATAGGAAATATTAAAAATAAAAAAATATTTAAATAATTTTAAAAATTAGATATTCTACTTTTCTTTATAACAATTTATGTAAATAAAAAATAATTTCAATAAAATTTATTATTATATCTTTTTATGTAAATATATGTAGATATATTAAGTTAATATTTAATTTTTTATAACTATAAATATGTCAATAGATTGGACATTCAATGTCCAAGATTCCAAAAGTTAATTGACATTTTAACTGCAACAATTTATATAAGAATTTTAATTAATTTTTACGGAATATTTTATTTTTATATAAGATTCAAATTTGTTTTATATAATTTACAATTGTAAATATCGTTTTATATAATTTATAATACAATAATAATACAAAAGTTAAAGCACGTCAGATTCTTTGTGCTCTCTAAACGTTGTCTACAAAAAATCGTTATTTCAAAAAGAAAAGAACAAACAGGTGATTTATGATTTCGTTGAAAATTTATTGACAACTGTTTTTATCGTTAAAAGAAATATTACTTTCAATATCGGAAGTAAATCGTTATCAACAAATCTGATGTTTTACTCTATAAAAAAGATCTTACGACTATTCATGTATTTATCTAATTTAAGGAAAATTGATGCATTCAGGCCTGTATATTTGGCGCATCGTCAGCATTATCTTTGGAATTATCAATCGTCATGTGTGTGTGTATTAGTTAAATTATTCCTTCTGAAATCGTCGTTAAAAGTGCATTTTGATGGAAAAACTGTTATGTATTTTGTGCTTATAATTTTCTCGCAATTAGTTAAAACAAAAAATTTTTATATAGTATATATATACATATAACGATGCTGACAAAAATATTTCTGTTAGCATAATAACAATTGATCGAGATTTATCAATTAATATTCAGTAGTAGAAAAATTACAAGTAAATGTGAAATATTTCTAAAACGGCTACATAAAATAGACATCTAAATTGCACGAATAATTACAGACTGTGCCTCAACAATAACTATCGTAATAACAACAAATTCCGATAATATCGTAATAATTTAATAATTATTTTAACCCTTTTGTGCTTTAACGAATGTTACATAACGGTATATTGCTCTTTAAAAAACAAAGTTTAAAGATATAATTGCACGTCCAAATTATATAAATTTAAAGCTTGAAAATATAGTACGTTAAATATAATATATTTAATAATTTCGACTGACGATTTAGCAGAGATAATATTTGTCGTTAGCCTGATAATCATTATGCAATAGTGCAATTCTTAAAATCTGTAAATTAGCATATATAAGATGTTTCTAATATCTTTTAGCTGTTAGACTCCTCAATTTTTGGCATATTCTCAAAAAGTTAAAAAATGAATACTTATTCCGGATAATACCTATAAGTATACATAATTGATGTTATAGTTATTCAACACAAATACAAATAAACAATATGATATATTAATGTGCTGGTATTTAATATCTAATTAAAAGTAAAATAATCGTGGAAAACGTCGATGCTGTACTTCGATTTTTTATTAAATGG